TCCCTAAAGAAGTCAAAAAATTGACAATCAATCCTCCTAATGACTCTAGAAAATTGTCATCCAAAAAGAAGTATGAAATCAACCCAGGAAAAACTGGGTGCCACTTTCAATCACTGATTTAAGCCCTAAATCATAAACTGACTCGTTTTCTCTGATTCTTCCTAGTCACCAAGCAACTCTCGAAGATTTCTATACCTTGGACACCTCTTGCAATCTCTAATGACTCCAAGAACTAGGAGATTCAAGTTGAAGCTTCTTGCCCGAGAAAAATCTCATGTAGTCAGATGTAACCGATGAGGTTCAAACCTGTTTTAGCAAAGAATAAACTAGAAAAGAAAAGAAATAACAAAAGTGGAAAAGACGAGAACATAGTAGCAATAACAATAGTAAGGCAAGTGCTAACAACAACATAGTAGCAATCTAACATAAAAAAAAATAATAAGGGTAAAATACAAAACCTCCCCTAAAGTTTCTAAAGTCATAAAAACCTCCCCTATAGTTTTATTTTAGCAGAAACCTCCCCTCTATTTTTGAAAAGTTCAACAAATACCTCCCTTCCGTCAATGATCAAGACGGAAAATGTTAAAGAGATTATATTTTTTTAAAATACCCATTTTACCCTTTTACGAATTATTGTGCATCTGTTTTTACTAAAATAACCCTGTCTCAATGCTCAAACATTGTTCATCTTCTTCCTCAAGATGCACATTGTTCATCAACTACTTCGCCATTAAAGTGTTCATGGAGTTTCACACGAGAAATCTATATGTAGTAGAAAAAGGTCATCCCTTCCTCTTTGAAACCGTTACAAACCCTTCTCGCCAAACTAGAGTTCCTTGCCTCCTTGGGTTTCTCTTATCTCTTCTCACTTTGTTTCTTTTCAGGAGATGGAGATGATGAAGAGCTTCGGTTGACTTGCAGTCTTTGCTCTCTGTCTTTTAGTTTTGTTGTGCATTCCTTTCAGCGCATTTTCCATGTTACACTCTCTCTCGATTCTGTTGTTCTTTTCAGGGCTTTCACAGAAATGGGCTCTGGGTTATTTGTTTCCTTTCTAGTTCTCAAACTCTTCTTTAAACCTTCAGTTTCTCAAAATTCCAATACAGATAGGTTCCTTGTCTCTGATTTCTTCAACAAAATGAGTGTAAACTCTTCATCCATTTTCAACTTATCTGCTCTAGTTTGTTCATGGAAATGTGTCTTATGTGACAAAGAAGATAATGTTATTGGATTGTTGGCTTTTCGATTAGGTCTCACTGGTTTCATCCCTGAAACCACCATTGGAAAACTCAACAAGCTTCAAACTTTGGATCTGAGCAAGAACAATATCACCGGTTTGTTGTTTGATTTTGGGAATAGTCTCAGGGTCCTTAACCTCTCGTATAATCAGTTTTCTGGGATTATTCCTAGTAACATCGACAACTTCGGTGTACTGGAAAGTCTCGACCTTTTTGCCAACAACTTCTCTAGTGAGATTCCTTCAGCAATTCTTAATTGTAGATCTCTAGTCTCCATAGACCTTTCATACAATCAACTCAACGGAATTGTTCCAAATGGTTTTGGTACCACATTTCCCAAGCTCCGAAGCTTGAACCTTTCTGAAAATGAGATTCGTGGAAGGACCTTTGATTTTCTGGGGTTGCAGTCGATCACTCATCTTAATATTTCTAGGAACTTATTCCAGGGTTCCGTGGTGGCTGTGTTTCAGGAGCCACTGGAAGTTATTGACCTTAGTCGCAACCAGTTTCAAGGCCACATATCCCAGGTACATTTGAATTCTAGTTTCAATTGGTCTCGTTTGGTTTACCTTGATCTTTCTGCAAAATGAATTCAGTGAAGTGTTCTTCCATAATTTGAAGTTTTGAACCAAGCCCAGAATCTCAAACACCTTAATCTCGTCGGAAGTAGATTTTTTGAGTAGGAATTCCCCTAATTTGAAAAACTCTCAGCTCTAGAATACCTCAACTTGTCCAAAACTCATCTCGGAGGAAGAATTCCAAATGCAATCTCGCAATTGGGTAGCTTAACAGTGCTAGGCCTTTCCAAGAACCATCTCACTGGCCGAATTCCATTTCTGCATACTAACAATCTCCAAGTTATAGACGTTTCAAAGAACAATCTGATCGGGGAGATCCCATTATCTGTGATTGAAAAACTACACCGGATGAAGAACTTCAACTTCTCTTATAACAACTTAACCCTCTGTGCTTCAAGCATTCTCTCGTCTTCGTCTCTACCTCTGTCGCTCCAGTACCTGGCAATGTCATACAACCATCTCATAGGACCAGTCGACTGGCTACTCTCTTCAAGCATCCCGAGCAATCTCTTCTCATTTCCCATCACAAACCTTCAGCTACACATGAACCTGTTCAGCGGTCCTGTTCGACCGTGGAACCAGGTCAGATTTTGGACGGTGATCTTAAAGGACTGAGAAAGGAGAGAGGGCTACTTTAGTAAAAATCGGGAAGGGTAGAGGGGGGAGTGCACAGTCATTCTGCTGTTGTGTGCCGTGAGGAAGAAGATGAACAATGTTCAACATATTATGGTGTTGTTGAGATGACTATTTTACTAAAAACGTATGCACAATAATTCGTAAAAGGGTAAAATGGGTATTTTGAAAAAAATATCATCTCTTTAACGTTTTCTGTCTTGGTCATTCACGGAAGGGAGGTATTTGATGAATTTTTTAAAAATAGTTGGAAGGTTTTTGGTAAAGTAAAACTATAAAGAAGGTTTTTATGATTGTTAGAAATTTCAGGGGAGGTTTTTGTATTTTACCCAAATAATAAACATGTAGGAGGACAAAAAAGCTCTCAATAGCATTCCCAAAAAATCTATTCTCATGATAACGTGGCATTCCCAAAAAAGCTCTCGATGGCATAGGCTGTTGGCCCCCAACAGCCAAAGTTTTTCCTTTAGAACCTATAAACCCAATTTAATTTAAAATAAATAGCTTCTAGTTTTTAAAATGCATTGTTAAATAATTATTATTGAAGGAACGCATGTTGGATTGTGTCAATATTAGGTTGAACCCTATCAGACTTGATTGACAGGAACATTGGAGGGTCGGGTTAGGGTTGAGGCAAACCCATATTCCTAAAAAAACGTTTGAATGGAATGGAATCCATCCTGCCATTCCATCTTGAAAAACACTCTGGATCTCCTCCCAACAAGTCCATCTCATTATCCCTACCTCCGTCCTATAAGTGACGCATCACATGAAGCCACAACGTTTTTGAACCGCCGTTGACTCAGACGGTCGAATTATTCAGGCTTGGGAATTGTTCAGGCAATGAAAAAGTCAATAAATTGTTGATTCGAGCGGTTGAATCGTCAATCCGTCGACCTATTCAATGGATTTTAACCGTTTTTTTTTTATTTTTTTAATTTTGCTATCAGAATGGGCCGTCCGTTTGAGTTGAAGAGTCGGACCATCAACCTAAAAATTGGTGGCTAAAACAATTCCGTTTCCGAGTCGTTTTTTAAAACGTTGTGAAGCCATAAAAAATGGAGGATACATTAGTATGTAGATGGTTCTTCTCAGTCCTTATAACCCTGTCATTGAATCCTTCTACTTGTTTTTGTAGGGAATACCACTACAACTAATTTCAACTAGAGACTTATCAGTGGTGGGAACAGGGCTCATGCGATCACATGGGCATGCATGGGTGGGCATATCACAGTACCTACTCTTTCATGGTCATCCTTATTCCACCATCGACGATTAAGGTGGTGTTTGGCAATTGGCATGTTATGGACACACCGCCTGGCAGCGCACTGCGGCGCAGGCATAGGCAGCAGCACGCACCGCCCGGCAGCGCGCACAGCAGCACGCACTGCCCGGTAGTGCGCAGCACGCACCATGCACTGCACGGAAGCAGCACTAGGCAGCAGCACGCACCACACGACAGTAGCATGCTCCTCACGGCAGCAGCACTGCAAGACATGCGCACCGCTTGACAATAGCAGTAGGGTGGGGCCCACATGATAGCTCATCAGGGTGGGCCCACACTTATCTTAATACATCAGCTCTGCCCACCAACTCGCTGCCAGCTACACCATTCCTTATCCCTTATCCTTATCTTATCTTATCTTAAGTAAGAGTTGTGTACTATTAGGAGTAGGTAATTAGGAGTTTGAGTTGGTGTTGGATTACCCTAGCCTAGCCGAATCCAACAAGGAATTCCCTTCTGTAATCTCCTATTTAAGGAGCTACGAGTTGAAATAAAGCATTCAGTTTTCTAGTCAAGAAAAGAGTGAGGAGAGTTCGGGTGGTCTCTTGGACAAATCACCCATTCAGTTTCCGCAATAGGGTCTGCACGCAAGGGAAGGCGCAAGGGAAAGCAGGGCTTTCTCACCGTGGACTGACCCGTGACGAGATCCTACGCGCGGGCCCATAACATCTGGTATCAGAGCCAAACATCACGGGCGATATGGAGCAGCTATCATTCAAGGTCAACGAACTAGAATATAGACTAGTAGAAACCAGCATGGAGGTTCGTGAAGTCAAGGAAGATGTCCGGGAGATGCGACGCCTGCTGGAAGCATTCCTCTCCAACAAAGAAAGGAGTTTTGAGGGAATCGCCAACACAAACAGTCGCCGTCCGGATTGGGCGGAGGCATCCAGCGAATAGCAGATCGCTGCCCCGACAGCCGCAGTTATTTCCAAGGATTGCCATTTGGAGTCTTCCTCATACTGCGGCAGCGGCGACCCACTGAGAGGGCTGTACCACTACGAGCAACTCTTTTGTAATCAACGCACAGGGGATGAAACTGTAAAGTCTCCTCTTTTGGCCGGGGACAATGTCATGAACATTATGTTGGTACCTGCAGAATGTGCTCCTTGGTCGAGGACAGGTGGACTTGGCGATGTTGTTGGGACTTTACCGAAGGCCTTGGCTCGGCGTGAACATAGAGTTATGGTTGTGCCACCACAGTATGGTAACTATGCAGAAGTCTAAGAAATAGGAGTGCGCAAGAGATATAAGGTGGATGGGCAGGATATGGAGACTTCTCTTGAGGTTCTCTTCTGTAAGTATACCCAGTGCATTCCTGTGATCCACAACATAGCACACCGGGGTTGTGGTCCAGTACGCGATTTTCGTTATGTGGACCTTCCACAAAACTACTTCAAACTACATGACCCAGGAGGTGGGGAACACTTCAAGGTCCTTGCAGCTGGCCTGAAAGCAGCAGATCGTGTAGTCACTGTAAGCCATGGTTACGCCTGGGGGCTGAAAAGTAAAGGAGGCTGGGGTCGCATCAAATAATAAATGAGTGTGATTGGAAGCTGAAGGGCATCGTGAATGGGATTGATGCAAAAGAATGGAACCAACTTTATGCACTGAGCTATGGGACAGCCCCTATTGTTCATACTATTGGTGGACTGAGAAATAGTGTGCAGCCGTTTGATCCATTCGTAGAATTCCAAGCCACGTATTCGGAATTCGAGCTTGAGGACAAACTCGTAGTCCAGGAGGGGTGTGATGTTATGGACACACTGCCCGGCAGCGCACTGCGGCGCAGGCATAGGCAGCAACACACACAGCGGGCCGCACAACAGCCCGGCAGTGCACTGCGGCGTAGGCATAGGCAGCAACACACACAGCGGGCCGCCCAGTAGCACGCACCGCCCGGCAGCGCCGCACAGCAGGCGGACAGCGCGCGGC